CACCTGACTCTGGGTTTCAGAGGCAGTATCAATAGGGAAGTAGATTGCCCAACTTTCCTTCCAAGGAGAGTGGCTGGTGAGTTTGAACCGCCAGCCTTCTGGTTAGCAGTCAAGTGCCTTAGGCACTATACTACCAGAGCTCCTTAATGAGTAGTTAGACACTTATTACTATGACAAAGCAGAAAATAGCATATACTAGATTGTATTGACATTCTATGAAGTATGAACAATTTTTAAAATATTTGGTAGAGTGATAAGATCTGGCTATATACTATACAATAGTCAAAGTGATTCTTTTGTGGATGTTTACAAATTTAGTGGTTACAACTTTGAGCATATCTGTGAAATCTTTAAGTGATATTTCTAATATTGGAGGTAAAAAAAAAAAAAAATCAAGTCATCCAGATTTCCAGAGTGCCCTTATTGTGGCCAATGAAGAAGATGGGCCATTATTAAAACCACATTTTACATAGGAAGGAGCTCTGGTGGCATAATGGCATTTGACTGCTAATCAGAAGGTTGGAGGTTCAAATCCACCAGCCACTCCACAGAAGGAAGACTGGGCAATCTACTTCTGTAATGATTTACCATCTTGGAAACCCAAAGGGAGTCACCATGAGTTAGAATCGACTCAATGGCAATGAGTTGAGTTTGGTTTGGTATTTTACATAGGAGAGGGCTGGTCAACTTTTCTCTCACGTAAACTAGGCAAGGATATTGGCAAAATAATGAAGATGTCAAAAAGGGGCCATGATGCCAACAAAGAAAGCAGGAGGGACAATGGTGTGAGATGTGAGAGAGGGAAAGGATTTGTGGTCAACCTTGCAATGCAATTTGCAATAATGATATGCTATCTTCAAAAGCTCAGGAGCTCTGGTAGCATAGTGCCTAAGGCACTTGACTGCTAACCAGAAGGCTGGCGGTTCAAACCCACCAGCCACTCCTCGGAAGGAAGGTTGGGCAATCCTACTTCCGTAGTGATACTGCCTCGGAAACCCAAGGAGGGGTCGCTATGAGTCGGGGCCGACTTGACGGCAAATAACAACAACAACAACAACATCTTCAAAAGCTTGGATCATGATCCTGTCCCTGCATAGAGAGTCCTTTGAGTGCTTATTCTAATGGTGATGGTGGATTTCCATCAATCTGGGCATTCTTTCTACAAATTCATGCATGTGTAAGAAAACATTCTAAGTTTGTTGTTGTTGTTGTTATGTGCCATCGAGTCGGACCCAACTCATAGCAACCCCTCCTTGGGTTTCCGAGGCAGTATCACTATGGAAGTAGATTGCCCCATCTTCCTTCCGATTCTAAGTTTAGGGATAAAGAAAGTGAATGAAGTGAATTGGATTATGATTTGTGTCATTAAATGCGTATCCTACTTAACTGCTAGCTAGCACATGTACAAACACACACACACACAAGGAGATCTCAAAGAGTTAAGAGAGAGGGGTTTTGAGAATCCCATCATTTCTTTCAAGTTTGGGAAAAGTGAATCATGTATACAGCTAGAAAAAGTCTAAGAATGGGTGATGTGACAAATAGTGCTGGTGACCAGAGTTACACACTCATAAATTTGTGCAAGGTGGATTACTAGAATGTCAAAGACTTCAGCAGTATATCCTAGTGCCTTTTGAAGATCAAAGTGGTATACTTCTAAGGGATTCTAGGTAAGTCATGCCAGGAGTTTTTAGTGATATATGCTGAAGTGGTTATTTCAATTCATTGTCATTTGGCTTTATCTTTCTAAGGTCGGTCACAATATCTGAAAACTCAGGTAAAGTAAAATATCTGTATGGCAAAGATCCCTACATTCTCAGTGCTGCCTTAACACTGGCAGGCACTGGTTTTATTTGTTTAGGTTTTATCCTATTTTAAAAGAGGTGGTTAGAATGGGGTATGAGTTAGGGCAGAGCTCTAGGTCACATTTTTTTTTTGTTCAGTTCCAATCATAGGAACAGTAGGAGCTCTAACTTATGCTTACCTCTAGTATGAGGGATCACCATCCATCTTAGTGCATGCTTGTTGTTGTTGCTGTTATGTGCCGTGGAGTCACCCCCTAGGTGTTGTTGTTATGTGCCGCCAAGTTAGGCCTGACTCATAGCGACCCCTCCTTGGGTTTCGGAAGCAGTATCACTACGGAAGTAGATTGCCCAACCTTCCTTCTGAGGAGTGGCTGGTGGGTTTGAACCACTTGTTAGCAGTCAAATGCCTTAGGGACTATGCTGCCAGAGCTCCCTTCTTAGTGCTTGGATATAGTGCACAAATAAACAGTGGACCACCACCATCATGATCAAGTACAGAAATAAAGTGCTGATAGCATTAAACTTGTTTTAAAACTGTTACTTCAATAGGAATTTGATTGTCCAACCTAGGGGGTAGGCGCTCTGGTGGGTTAGTGCCTAAGGCACTTGACTGCTAGCCAGAAGTCTGGTGGTTCAAACTCACCAGCCACTCCTTGGAAGGAAGGTTAGGCAATCTACTTCCGTAGTGATAACACCTCAGAAATCCAAGCAGGGGTCGCTATGAGTCAGGCCTAACTTGGCGGCACATAACAACAACACCTAGGGGGTAAAATGGTCCAGGCCCAGTAGGATAGATAGAAGGTATAAATTCTTGAGTCTTTAACTCCAGTAAGATCCAGCTGTGTGACATTGTCCTACCCTTGCTCTAATGATCATTCCAAGAGGGTCTTTAACTCAAGAGTCTTAGGAATCATCATCGGGGGTCTTGTAAACTGTATAAAACCAGAGACTGATCTCAACAAGAAGGTTCAGGTGGTTCTCTTCACATACATGCATTTCATATAATATACTGGCGTGAGGCTATGAAATTGACTGGAATACTATAAAATAAGAGGAAAAGAGAGGAAAAAGCCAAGTCCAGCTCAAGTTGGACATTGTCAACAGAATCTCATTAAACCCCAAAAGACTTTTATCTCCCCTGAAATATGCTACAAGAGGATTTAGCGATGGGATGACTAACAGTCTAGCTATCGAACTATCACTATGATTAGTGACTCAGGGCTGACATACTGACCATTCACAGTGGTCAAGCTGATTGACATACAGCTTTAGGAGTGAATGCTCATCAGCCACAGGGCTGGGTGCACTTACCCCTTCAGGTAACCTGAGGGAGGCAAACAATGAGATCTCATTACAACCTCCCATGGACGGAGCAAGGCCCACTCAGAGAGGAAAGACACTCAGTACACAGCTTTATTGAACAGCACCCTTAAAACAGAAACGTGCGCCCATTCTCCATGGTGATAAGAAGAACTGCAAGCTTCAAACAATGTGTCTGTGGTTCACAGTGAACATGCCAAAAGGACTGAAAATGGGAAAAAAGGGAAATGATGATATTTTGGGTTAGTGGGCACCCTAGAGGAAGCAGAACAGCTCAGAGTGTTATAGGGATACAGATATGTTAAAGCAGAGGAAGTCATGTTATCCATCTAGACGCATCCACCATAAGCACCGTCCAAGCTGAAATGATATAAAATGACCTTCAGTAAGGATGGGGTCTATCTTGGCTTGATATTTGCAGAATGTAGAGCTCCCTCATAAAAGCACAACATCTTTCTAAATGTCACTTCAGGTTTTCCCTAGACAGCTGCACAGGCCCATGTCACTCATAGATTTTACAGCTTATAATAATAATAATATTAATAATAATAATAATAATAATAATAATTTTTTAAAGAAAAGATAGTGGGCTGGATTTGCTGGTGGTTCTACAAAGGAGTGCTAATAGGAAGTTATTGAGTGCCTAAACCGTATTACTTCACTGTGGATGTTTTGGAGTTTAATTGACCCCTCATTTCCTCTTGTTACAGACTTACTTAATTTTATCACTGAAACACCATGTACTGCCACATTCTGTTTATTCTGCTAATTACAATCATGGGGAATATCTTTATCTCAGGTTCCTGCTGATGTTCAAGTACAGGAACTCAGGGGAAAAAATTAGCTGTGCTCTGAGTCTCACTGTCTTCAAATTCTTACTAGAATGTATGAAGATTACAGAGAAATTGGTACCTCAGAAACCTCTTTGGGGAAAAGACCAATTATGTTTGCTTTGTGAAATATGAGGCTGGATTTTTTCCCCCCCATGAAAGGCATTTGAAATCTTATGTTCAATTACTCACTCCATTTTCCTTACCTTTGTTTCTGCTTTCCTGTGAGAATTCTTCTGGTACTTACAAAATAATTCTCTGGTGCTTTAGTCATGATATTTGATGAGATGACTTGGGGCACCTCTTGACCCCTGTATATTCCTAATGCTTAACTCTTAAGTGTCTGTTTCACCTTCTCTTTGTTCACGTGGGAGTGGATTTTGTACAAGATGAGACACTTTTTTTTTTTTTTTTTTGTAAGTTCTTGTTATCATCCATGAAATTACTTACAAGGAAACTACATTTCCAATTTTAATCCTTAGTCACTAGCCTCAGGAATTCCAGAGTTCACCAAAAAGAGGATTCTTTTATATCAGGAGCTTTAAATAAGGAGATGTTTCAGGGGACGTATATAATAATACTCCACTGTATCTCAAAATTCCAGTTCCTTGTCTTAAATGGACCACTGCAAGAGCTGTGAAAGTGATTTTCTCAATGAGGAGTAAGGCATATGTCAGACATAAAATTTAAACATATCTCACATTCTTGTTGTCCATAGATTATAAATGACAAAAGTGACATGACTCCAAAAAACCCTCTTCAAATGCATCCAAAAGAATGAAATCGAAGACTGTGACAAAGACTTACAAACTAGTTTCCAACAGTAATCTTTGTTTGTTTGTTATTGTGGTAAATATTTATGTAACAAAACATTTGCCATTTTAACATTTTTTTATACGCACAATTTAGTGACATGAATTATGTTCCTGCTGGTGTTCAACCATTATCTGTTTCCAAATTCTTACACTAGAGTATTTTTCTTGCCACAGAATCAAGGGCTTATTTCCGAAGAGAGGACTTATTTGATAATAAGGTAGGGACTTACCTCCTGGTAATAAAAGGACTTCCTGAGGAGGGGACAGAGTGGGAGAACAGGGTGTCATTCATGCTGGTTACAGGTCTGGGAGGCCTAAAACAAAGTGTGGAAAATTAAAGTTAGTAACAGCCATACACACACACACACACACACACACACATACCACACTCCTCCATCTCTCTAGGAAAATGGGTTGGAAATATCAGAATTCTTCTTGCCCAGGATCAAACAATGAAAGTTTACATTTTCAAGTTAAATTCATTAAGTGTTTGTTATGGATGAATTGTGCCCACTCTCAGTAAGATATGTTGACATCCTAACCCCTAAGCTGTCCCCCTTGTGACCTTGTTTGGAAATACAGTCTCTGAAGATGTTACCAGTTAATGTGAGGTCATATAGAAGAAGGGTGGGCCTAATCCAATATGAGTGATGTCCTTATAAAAGAGAAGAGTTTCAGACACAGAGGAAAGACAACTATGTGAAAGGGGAGGCATAGACTGAAGTGATGCATCTACAAGTCAAGGAATGTCACGGATTTCCAGGAACCACCAGAAGCTAGTAAGAAGCAAGAAAGGATCTTGTCTTCTTCCCTAGAGGCTTCAGAGAGCATGGCCCTATCGACACCTTGATTTTGAACTTGTAGCCTCCAGAACTGTGAGACAATGTATTTCTGTTGTTTAAAGCCACCAAGTATTTAATAATTTGTTATGGCAGCCCTAGGATATTAATACATCTTTAAAGTTTTATTTTCCAGGGAATACATAATCCCAGTCAAATATTGAGAGGAAGATCTCCAGACATCACAGGAATGTTTATCCATGAGCTTTGGGCATTGGTGTTTCATTTATCATATTCTGGAATGGAACAAGGATTTTGAAGCAGTCTTACATGCTAGGGGCAGAATCTCTGAAAACTTGATGATTATCAGAATCCACATCCTCTTGAAAAGAGGAGACTTTCTGAGGCTTTGAAAACTTTCTTCTGTGTACAGCCTGACCATTGCTCTTCTTACAATGTGACCAGGTTGGAAGGAGCCTTAGCTATATCTGGAAGTCTGCAAAATCATATTGTGCTTTATTTGCTTTTTGTTCTATTAAGCTCCACAAGGAATTACTAAATTTCTGCTATCTGGGAGATGTATGGTAGTGTATGAGGTGTACGGGATTCCATATACTTCACTTTTTAAATATAAACAATGAGAGAAAATAGGGTTCAATGTTCCTCAGTGTTGTCCTTGGCCCTCAACACCTGCTGCATTAAGTCAGCATATGTTTTATTCTTACCTCATATTGTCACTCTTTGTCTATCACTAATGTCTTAGTTCTGATTAAATAGATAAAGATGCAGCTAAGACCCCTATCTCATCTCCAAGCAGGATTGAATTTGTTTTAGCTTCCACATAAGATATTCCATGGTAAGATGGTATGTGATTTATAATTCAGAAGAAAGAGGCTATGAAGGAGTCAGAGGGAAACTTCCATTTTGCTTTAATTCTATAGTTGAGCTTGACAATATAGGTATTTTTAAAGATGAGACATTAATTTAGTAGCCAATGGAATATATTTATGATCACTTGATTGCAACTCAAGTTTATAAATGGTTTAATTTTTACTTTAGGAAACCAGAGTTAGTTCGGGATTCTACAAAGAAGACATTCTGCAAAAAAGGTAAATTTATTTATCTCAGTTTATTTATGGGAATGGATAGACGCTATGTAGTTTTAAACTGTTAGCAACGTATACAAAAATTCAAAGACCCTTTTGCTTCCCAGTACCTGGTGCTAAACATGTTTTGTAAGATTTTCTAAGATACTTTAGTTGTTGAGTGAGGTCAAAACCGTCGGTGTACTTCTTCATTTACCCTAAATAGATTGGCTACAATTCCAAACACTCTTAGTATTTTGCATTACTTATCTAGGATGTGTCTTTGATACAAGTGAGCAACATGAGGCTAATTTAAAACCAATTCTACTTTGAATTGAACACAAATGTCCTTTGTAAATTATGAAAAGTTAGGGTCATCAATGAAACATCTTCACTGTAGCTTTGCAGAGTTGAGAAAAAAATAAAAATACTCCACATTTATGGTTTCCTTTTTTTTAAAAAATTTTAAATTAAGTTTCTCATCTTGTCCTATCTCCAGGAAATGAGAAAACAAATGGACTTAGAATTTTTATTTATTTATTTATTTATTTATAACTAGCCTGGTGAATTTACTCTATCTGACCTGGTAACTGTCTATAAAACTCAAATCACGACTTCATATTTAGAGGTCCATGGTGGGTCCCATAATGGCTAACATGGCTCAAAATGGTGTCTTTCAGAGGGACTAACTTTGCTTTTTCCTCAATAATTAAATGGTAAGTTATTATAATTGAATAAATGAGTAACATTGGGAATTTAAACATATTTACTCTTATGGGTGTGCATGTGGGAAGCTCCACGACACAGTGTAAGTCACAAGCTGGGGCTTTTTTAAGTCTTCTTTCTGGACAAGACTACCTGGGGTAGTATTTTTGTCTCATAAACCCAAAAAAACAATGGCCATCAAGTCAATTCCGACTCATGTCAGCCCCGTGTGTTGCAGAATAGAATGGCTCTTGAGGGTTTTCACAGCTGTAGTCTTTGCAAAAGCAAACAGCCAGGACTGCTTCTGCGGCGCTGCTGGTTGAGTTTGGACTGCTAACTTTTGGGATGATAGTCAAGTGCAAACTATTGGTGCTACCCAGGGACCTTTTGTGTCTGTTAACCACTTTGATTTTAAGTCTTCATAAATGCATTTGAGATATTGAATTACTTACCAAGTATCACTTTTGGCAGCCAAAAAAAAAAAAAAAGAATACAATAAAGACTGTTAATTATGCTAACATTTATAAGCAATATCTAGTGAAGAGCAAATTCAAAATACCAAAATGTCACCACCTGCTCATTTATTTTATTGGAATAATTTTTTATTGGAAGTATTTGTTTATGTTGTGTATAAAATCCTTGACTGTAGTAAAATAGAGATTTTGAGTGTGCGACATAGTTAATTTGCATTTGCATAGTGTGTGTATGTGTGATCATAGTACTATAATCTATTAACAATTCTATTGATTCAATCACTGTTTACTGTATGTAAGTCTACTTCTAAAAGGTTACTTTAGCTATATAGTTAGACTTTTGCATTTATAAAAGTTGAAACTGAAGTACTACAGAAGCAATGAATGTATTTTCTAATTTATCTAATAAATATTCAAGCATAAGCCATGTATTTTTTTGTCTCAGTTTACATCTATACCTTATAATGACTTTTTACTGCTTAAAATTGGATACATTACCTGTTAGAGGACTAACATCAATTTTAAACACAAATTGCAAAACAGTAAGATGTGTTCAACATGAAATTCCATATCCACCAGCTTCATGACATTATATATATATTTCAGGAATGTTATACAATTATCCTCCCCTTAAGAAAAATTTGCATTATGTGCTCTTTTATATGAAGAGTGTCTTAGAAGAATTTGCACTAATTTTCACAATTAACACACTATTTTGTAGTAACAAAGATGAAAACCCCTTTGAGTCTATACCATAGCTCCCTCGCTCAGTTCAGCCAGCACATGACTTAGAGTAGGGTATGCCCACCAGGACTACCCATGTCACACCCCCACTCATTGCTCCCTTTTCACCTTTCCATATAAATTATCCAAGTGTGTAAATGACATATACTGAGATATTTTTATGAACCTAGATGGACATGTCCAAAGAATAACAAATACATCATAATATTGCGATGAAAACATTAAGAAATATATATATATATATATATATATATATATTTGGAAAAACTGTAGGGAAATGTTAGTGACAGAGAGAGCCACAGATACAAAAAATATTTTTATTGCCATATGTGTTTCTAAAGAACACAATTTTATATGTAAAATATATCTATATAAGTTATGTTTCTTGGGAGCTCTGGTAGCATAGTGGCTAAGACACTTGCCTGCTAACCAGACGGCTGGCGGTTCAAACCCACCAGCCACTCCTCGGAACGAAGGTTGGGCAATCCTACTTCCGTAGTGATACTGCCTTGGAAACCCAAAGAGGGGTCGCTATGAGTCGGGGCCGACTCGACGACACATAACAACAACAACAACAAGTTACGTTTCTTATTGAAAACATATTTTCACTATGGTGATATTACCTCTGCTTAAGACCTTAGTGTTTTAAGTCATATTTGAGGTAATAAATTAAGGATATTAAATGGGTATAGAGGGATTGGTGTATTTTATTTCTTAAAGTTTTCATTCACCTTATTTTGTTGTACAGCACTGTATGAGTGGTAAAATGGCTTATGATAAAAGAACATGTTATGAAATGTCATATATTTTTATTGAGTTTTACACAATTATATCTATGTACATTTAGAAGTATGAATGTTCATTGATTCCAGATACATGTTCATTAGAGTAGATTAAGAGGGTATCCTTCTTTGCAACAGATTAAAGCATACTGACATTTATTTTTCATTTATTTATGTACCTATGATAATTTAGTATAGTTAATGAGTAGCATATTTTAAAATTAAGTATCTTAGAAAATCCTCCCCCACTCACAAGTGACCTGGATAGCTGTTTAGAGCAGTAGTATTTGGATAAAGAAACAAATAGAAAGAAACATTTCTACAGCTAAAAATAGGAAGAAAAAAAAAACAAAAAAAAAACCCCTAAACTCTACTTTGATACAGATGGAACATTCTGCACCCAGAATTTCTTGTATGTTATTTCAATAAATAAATAAATAAATAAATAAATAAATAAATAAATAAATAAAGCAAGCTCACTACTGCAGAGTCGGTCCTGACTCATAATGTCCCCTCCTTGGGTGTCTGAGGCGGTATTTCTGCAGAAGTAGACTGTTGAGTCTTCCTTCCAAGGAACGGCTGGTGGGTTTGAACCTCCAGCCTTCTGGTTAGCAGTCAAAATGCCTTAGGCAGTATGCCACCAGAGCTCCCATAAACCAAAAACCAAACTCACTGCCGTGGAGTTGGACCTGACTCCAAGCAACCTCTCCTTGGGTTTCCAAGGCGGTATCTCTACAGAAGGAGATTGTCCAATATTCCTTCCGAGGAGGGGCTGGTGGGTTTGAATCACTAGACCTCTTGTACATTTTGAATTTTAAAATTAAGACAATTACCCTGGCAAAATATACTATCTGTGAATATGGATCAGTATTTTGTGTCAATGTCTATTTTGAGAATCTGGTTAAATACATAGAACTTTTCTTAGAAACACACATACACAGTTCACACATATATACTATTTTGTATAGAAATTTAAGGGAATCCTGAAATAACTCTATGGAACTCAAATTAAGAACTTATCATGTAGATATTGCCCTCAGTGAGTAATACATCAGATCATACTGTCCCCATAAATTAAAGTTTAAAAATTGTTACTCATTAGCCAGTTAAATAACTCTCATGTACACATATACCTATTGGATGCAAGGCCCTGTGAAATGACCCTGCAGTGTGACTCACTGTGAAACTGATTTTTATTCACAGCCCCTCACTTTCTCAAAGTGGAAGACAGCATCCTAATTCTGTTCTATTGTAAAGTTCTTAGAACCTGGCCGTTCCCATCCACTCTCTGTCTTCATCACACCAAGATGCTTGGCTTGAATGTAGGGTGAAGCTGCTAGCAGGCTGGTAGGAAGTGACTGGGGGCAGAGCTCAGAGAGCACAACTTGTTCTTCCATTGTTTCCTTCATTTATTAACAACTTAGTGATTGTCTTTAATCACTGTGGGAAGGCAAATTGAGGCCTTTGTAATCTCTGTCCTTCCAAGTTCAGAGTACAGTGACAACTTGTATGAGGTAGTTTCCAGCAAGTGGTTGGTCCTTTGGGACACCCTCAGATTTTTCTGTCTCTCTCCTCCACCCAAGTTTATTTTGAAGCTAATTTTTAAGGGCATAACTTCCAAAAATAAGTTAACCACATTCTACAGAATTGGTTTATGTTAGGGTTTTTTTTTTTTGGTCCTTAGCCAGTACCAGCATGTAGACTAAGAAATGTTGTTCTTATTTGCCGTCGAGTCGGCCCTGACTCATAGCGACCCCTCCTTGGGTTTCCGAGGCAGTATCACTACGGAAGTAGGATTGCCCAACCTTCCTTCCGAGAAGTGGCTGGTGGGTTTGAACTGCCAGCCTTCTGGTTAGCAGTCAAGTGCCTTAGGCACTATGCTACCAGAGCTACCAGACTAAGAAATAGGAGCCACTAAACTATGTGTATTGCTGAGGGCCGTGATTCCTTGAACTCAGAAGGAAACAAAATAAACCCTCCTTTTGTTTATGCAAAACTCATTGACAGGAGGCAACACAAACCACTTGAGGGTATTTGCTTAGGTTTATAAGAAGAGTTACTGCTTTCTTGAAGATTTCATTTCCACCACAAGGGCTCTTGGGAATCATATTCTGAACTGCCTGAAACTTTGCTTTGGTGAACTCCTAATATTGCTAAGTCCAGTCATCCCACCTCTTGATGTCAACATGCAAACATAGGACCTGCAGTGCAGTAGGTCCCTCTGAACTGTGAAAAACCAAACGCTGTTCATAAGGAAAGACACTCATTTATTCTAGAGGCTTTCAGAGACACCTGCAACTCCGTAATTCCTAATGGTTCATAGAAGCAAGTAAAGAGCTTCTTCTTTTGAGCCCAAGATACTGATGAGGAAGAAACTTTCGTATACCTTGTTGTTGTGTGTCTTTGAGTCATTTACAACTCACAGTGACTCCATGTGACTGACTGAGCAGAACTGCCTCCTAGTGTTTTCTAGGCTATAGTCTTCACAGGAGCAGATTGCTGGGTCTTTCTCCCACAGAGCAGCTGGATGGGTTTGAACCACCAACCTTCTGGTTAGCAACCAAGAGCTTAACTGTTGCACTTCCAGGGCTTTTCTTCTACCTAAGCTTCCTCTATTATGTTGTGAGAGGCTATGAGCATGAGGTTTCTGGGAGGTGGAACAAATAGGTGGTAACACCATTCTGTTGACCACCTTCTTCCAACTCACATGTATTTACAGACATTTTTTACAAAAAATCCATTTGTGGCTATTTCAATGACTTTTCCCATTGACTGCCCTCTTCAACCCTCTCCTGCTCAGGCCATGATGTATCTTGATATTTAAAAAATAAATAATTTCTAGATTTCTGGAATCTTTCAGATGACTGGCTCTGCAGAGAAATGAAATAAAGGGCTTTTATATTTGGGACTGAAAACATATAGGATGTTAAGACTTAATGTGCTTTAAAATTTTCTTACTATGATACTTCTATTGATTGTTAACTCCAATTATGCAAATCCCACAAACATCCGTTTGTTGTAACTATGCTTTATGAATATTTTTCACTTCTAGGTGAATTATGTCAGTGCTGTACACCTCAACAACAACAAACAATTATAATAACATTACTCTTGTTCTTTTTTAAATTAAATTTTAAGTCTTCTTCCCTGACAAGTGATATGAAATTGATTTTGTTTAGATCCAGACCTGTGACAGTAAGGAAATGGTCACTTAACCTAGAGGACAGAGATACTCACACGATATGAGCCAAGTTGAGGGGTTTCTCAGGCTGGTCAGGGAACATAGGGTGCAAAGGTTCATGGCTGGAAGCACAGCTCAGAGACTTGCTTAATGCATTAGTAAGCTTCTTAGCTGGCGATTTCTGGAAAGAACAAGAAAGGTAGAAGTAATAACAAATAAAAGGTATGTTAACATTTTATGAGATGCTTTGCTTTTCATAATAGTGAAAATAATTGAATAGTTTATTCATTCAAGAAATCCTTTTCTGAGTAACTACTATAAGACAGGCAAAGAGCCCTGATGGTGCAGTGGTAAGTAAAGTGCTTGACTGCTAACTGAAAGATTGGCAGTGTGAATTTATCAGCTTCTCTACAGAAGAAAGATATGGTAGTCTGTTTCCATAAAGATTATAGCCTAGGTAGCCCTATGGGGCAGTGCTACTCTGACCTACAGCGTTCGTGTAAGTCCAAATCAACTCGATGACAACTGTTTACAAGACAGGAAGTTTACTCAATGCTGGAAATAGAGTGTTGGAATAAGCCACCAGGTTACCTGTCCTCCTACCACTTAGTGTTAGTACCTTCTATGATAAATGCAAGTATGTGGGACCCATAAGCTTGTAATGGACAAAAAGGAGTCCTCTTGACAAAAACTCAAGGGGAAGGGATGGATGGAGGAAGCAGCAATTGCAAAGGGAGAGAAGAGACCCCATCCTGGAGAGATAAGCAGGAGGCAGGTCACCAAGTTTCTCATATTCTATGTAAAAGACTGTGGCCTTTATCTCACGGGCAGTGGGAACCGAGGAGACATTTAAATCACAAGGGTAACAAGATCAGACTTGGTTCTAGGAGCTTTGCTCCAGCTGAAGTATAAGAAAAGGTCTGGGAAGGGATACAGGAGTGGAAAGAGGAAGATGAGCAAGAGTTCTGGCAGGACTCCAGGTGAGAGGTGCTTCAGAGGTGGCCTGAAACATCCAGTTATAAGAAAAAGAGGAACTTAAGTCTGAGTCTTCGGAATGTAAAGGTTTCCTCGGCCCCCCCACCCCCACCCCCATCACTGTGCTACCTCTATTTCATTTAGGTAGATGGCATGTTTATCTTAAAATTGCGTATCCAAAATGAGGAAAATGAATCTACCAATAAAATAAATCTTTAGCCAAATTTTTCCATTCCATGAGAAGTCATTTATAATTTTGTTACTTCTTTTCAGTCATGCAGTCCATAATTGCTATTATACTAAAGTGTCTTCAGTATAATAATGAATACATTATTTAAATAGGAAGATTGTTCAAGATGCCCTTTCTGGCTTTTGTTAGGAGATGTGAGTCTTAGAGCAATTAAAATAGTAGCAGCAGCAGCAGAAGCAACAACAACAGCTCTTAAGCCATCAGCCTAGTTTGTGAAGACAGTGCCCTGCCATGTAATTCACAACCCCTAAGAGGCACCTTATGCGACTTGTATATAAAATGACAATAAAATATGATTGGTTTTCAGACACTAACAATCTGGGATTTGGGATAGAACATTTTTAAAGTTTGGTAATATGTTAACAGTTAACAAAATAAAAAGTGTTCTCTCTCTCTTCTCTATTAAGCTGTATTTCATGATCTGTATTAATATTTCTATCCTCAGTGCATGAATAACCAAAAGTGAGTGCAGTTTGAACTGGCAAGGAGCCCTCAGGATACGCTGCCTTAGTGAAGAGCTGTTCCTTAAATTCAGAATCTGACAGGCTATAACAGTTATGCCTACACTGACACTCAGTTCCTAAGAATAATTCTTAGAAAGAACATTCTGACTTAAAATGTCTTTTCTGAAGATTTTCTTTTCTTAAAGAACAATCTGTTAAACTTTAAGTGACTATTGATTAATTTTAAATATATTAAAATACAGGAGAGACTATAAAAAATTTACTTTTTTTTTTTTTTAATCAAACTATTCCATAAGAGATTGGGAGGAGCTGACAGTTCATGCCACAAAAAACAACTTATACACAGACGAGTACTTTAACAGAAGCAAAAGAGCAGCATCTTGGGAGTTTAACTGAGGCAGAAGTCAGCAAACAGTAAACCATGTGAATAGAAAACACAGTGAGATAATGTGGCGCCTCTCACTGACCCAGTGCCCTGTGCTTCTGGGAATATATCTACCACATGGACAGACAATCACAAGTCATCTTTAATAATCTAGTCTTTCAAACAATTCATGGAAGATGATTTGCTAATATAACCACAATCCTCCCACCTCTGCAGGAAAGTAAAATGAAATGGTATCATTAAGTCCATAGGCCCACACTTGTTTCTTTTAAGTTCCAGAATCTTAGAATTCCAGAACCTAAGAAAAAGGAAAGTAACAAGAGTTTTTAAGCAATTCCCACAAACAAAAAAATAAAACAAAACTTGGAAAAAACCTTAACTTACTGTGAAAATAAGATTAGGTTCCAGAAGGTACCTGCTGTTCAGGTATTACTGAAATCTGTACTGAATTATCTGTATTCCATGAAGTAAGTTTGAATCTTCCTATATTTTATGTCTCAGGAAGCCACCTTGGGTTCAGATATAATAAGTAAGAGATCCCAGTAAGGCAGGGTGGGGAGGGGGATGGAGGGAAGTAATGTTAGACTTGGGGTAGAAAGTTAAGTTTGTTCCTTAGTCCTGTCATAATCCTTGCTATTCCTTTCATCTTGGGCAATGTTCCCATATCCATCCATAAGTATGGCATGGACCTTGCCTTACCCATGATGTGTACTCTTTCATTTGGTGCTGGTTGCTATGGGAACCACCGGCATGTCCCCTCCAGAAGCAGTCCTGACAGAGCTGGTAATTGTGACACTGTTGGCATCGGTAGCGAAACCCCATCATGCTCTCGCTGTGGCAGTAGGAACACTCTACCGGATGGAAGACTAAGGGGAAAGTCAATGAACAGGGGAAAAAAAAGAATGAACCAGAATAAGAAAAAATACAGCTTAATAGGAATTGCCTTTTTCTCCTGTGTATCATGATTTTCAATGATAGTCTTGGCTGAGAGAAGTATTAGTTTTATTCCTGGAATCTCACCACCCATTTCAAGCATGTGTGTGGGGGTGGACGAAATGGAATAGTTACGGAGAATAGGTGTTCTTTTAACACAAATCTCTGTAATGCCATTTGCTCTCTCTACTCCCCTCTCTTACATTACAAGAATATAAATGATCCAAACTAACTGGTCTTTCCAAAAAAACCAGGACAGCTCACTAGGAGACTCAGAAATACAGTGGATGAATACAACTGACGGTCCAATTGAGTAGAGAGCAAATATTAGAGAAATGGAGAAATGAGAAGAAGGTAAAGGAAAGGGGACTGGGGGAAGAGTAGAGAAACTGGAGGGGAACAGTGAGTTACTTTCGAAAAATGGAGGGGCTACTTAATGAATGACATTGCCTTCATTTAACAAACAGATATTTTTCTTTCCTGACACAGGTGGGTAGAGGCCCCAAAAGATGCTTAAATTATATGAATATAGTTTAATTCAGATAGTTCAAGAACCACTTAACTTTTTCTGGAAGGAAATTTGAATTATAAAGCAGGCAAGGTAAAATATTTGAGGTCTGAAGTTAATAACTAATAATCAGAGCCAGGCAACAGTGTGCATGCTATGAGCTTCTTGCCTTGGAAAACATTATTCTCTGACTAACCATCCAGGAGAAATAAGGCAAATAAGAACACGTGGAGATAAAAAGCAAATCATGAAAAAAAAGGCATAACCATTTTTTTTTAGTGCGCTGTCCACTAAACAACCATCATGTCCTCCTTTTTCTGGCTCTTGGGAAATTGGGGTGGGGCTTGAATGTGGGGACAACTGTTCTGGGAGAGCACCTGGGAAACTCATTTCCCGCAACAGGAAATACTGAGAGAGGCAGTATACTGAGTTAGCAGCTTCAGGGTTGGAAAATCACTCTGGAACTGTATGTAGTAACATGAACTCATCCTGTACGATCCTGCGATCTGGACCTTGCTTCTGCATATGGATATGAAGAAAACAAATCTATGATTAGTAGTGGTTGCAGAGAAACTGGAAAATTCATTCTTTGAGTTTTCCGTGGGCAAAAATGAGATAAATTCATAGTTTTTAACTAGGAGAGATGATAAAAGCAGATGCTTAAAGTTCTAAAAGGGACTTCAAAATTAGGCTAATTTTAGCCCCAAGATATATTACAGAAAATATGGAGAAATTATAGGTCTAGTAAGAGATAGAAGATAAATTACTTCTATTCAAGTTTCTAGGAATTTCAAGTTAAATTAAATAATAAATAAGAACACCTAAAGATTAGATGGAGGCAATAAATTGCTATATGTTTAAACTTATTTAAATTTTATTTTGAACTATATTTCATATTTAAGTTTGACTATGAAAATAGGGCAATCTACTTCCATAGTGATACTGCCTTGGAAACCCAAGGAGGGGTCGCTATGAGTTGGGTCCGACTCGATGGCAAATAGCAACAACAACAACAACATGACAACAGTAATTATTTTTAAGGGGAAATGGTTGCCCTTGTAAAAAAAAAAAAAAGCACGTTACCAAAATTATATTACTCTTAATTTTACATAACTACAACTATGGAAAGCTTTGTATTTGGAGAATATGATGGAAGATTAGCAAGGAGCTACCAGGCAATCTTTGCTATTTTCTTCATCTAGGGAACTCTGATGGCATAGTGTCTAAGGCATTTGACTGCCAACCAGAAGGCTGGTGGTTCAAACCCACCAGCCACTCCTTGGAAGGAAGGTTGGGCATTCTCCTTCCATAAAGATACTGCCTCAGAAATGCAAGAAGGGGTTGCTATGGGTTGGATCTGACTTTATAGCAGTCATTTTTTTTTTTTTTTAAATTCTTGGCTTAATGCCTAGGAAGAAATCACTAGTGTCATGTATACCAATACAGATAGTCCCCAATTTATGACAAGGTTCCATTCCAATGACTCCCTCAGAAGTTGGTTCTGATGTAAATCAAATACCTCATTTTTATTTTAGTTTTCATTATTATTGCATTTTATTATCAGTAAGGAGCTCTGGTAGTGTAGTGGGTAAGGCATTTGGTTGCTAACCAGAAGGTCAGCAGTTCAAACCCACCAGCTACTCCATGGGGGGAAAATGAAGTAATCTACTTCTGTAAAGATTTGCAGCCTTGGAAACCCAATGGGGTTGCTATGAGAATTGACTTGATGACAGTGGTTTTTTTTTTTTTTTAAATCAGCATCTTTATAAATCCATTCTTTATTTGTCTTTGGGGGTTAGAAATACTGCATCTGAGAATGATAACATCAGCAAATTATGTGCTAAAACACTATGTAGTACATATTACTAACCAAAAGATATATAGAAAATGAAAAAAAAGAGTTCTAAGTATGGTTCATCACGTCTCGAATATATTTTAAGATGAAGACTAAGGATATTGGAAATTCAGATCTACAGCAAACAATAGAAAATGTTGCATTCTTTATTGAGATTCTTCTCCTTTGTGGTACTCAGTCTTTAAGCCACACCAGATATGTGAGTGAGAGGTACACAATGAAATTTACAAAATATTTAGAATGGGCTGTTCTATAAGACCTTACTAATCAGGAAGAATGGTTAGTTCTATACCAAACAAAACTAAGAAGTACTAAATAGACTTCCTAAAACAATGACTTTGGCTTGATAGCTGTAGACCCAATGGTCTCGTTTCAGTAATTTAAACAGCTGTCTTTGCTCAGGAGTAAGTACTCACCATTTTCTACATTTGCCAGTCGATGCAGAAGAGGCAACCAGACCAGGCACTGAGGAGGAGGATCAGACATCAGTGTGTCCAAGAAACTATTTAGTGTGACTTTTTTCTGCATCAAAAGTAAACAAAAAACAAACAAAAAAAAAAACCCCACAAGAATAAGGAGGAATAATCTTAATTTATCTGGAGTGTAAGTATTTGAGACTGAAGAAACAAGGCATTCAGTTCACCTCTATTACATGAAGAAACAAGACTTGCCAACTGTCCTGTTAAGCACCAGGCCTTGAATACAATCTCACGAGGGGAAGTGTTACACTGAAGGCAATAAAACAAGAGAACGGCATGGTGATCTGTGGGCATTGGGGGAACAGAAAAGAGGATGCCTCTCTTGTGTTCTCCGTGTTGTTTTATACATATTTTGAGAATCCCCTAAAGTGTTTTTTAAAAATGAGGCTCCAAAATAGTTTGGAATGCAATGGGGTGTATGACAAATAAACAAATGGACAAACAAACAAACACATCTGGAGGGAGAAGACCTGTTTAGAAGTTATGCAACAGTCCAGGCAATAGATGATAGAGAGGAAACAGATCTGAGAAACTGTTAGGAGGTGATATCAGCAGGACTTGATGATTGACCCATGGAAGCTCTGGGTGAGGATGAGAGTCTGTCAAGAGCTTAGGTGAATGAATCCGTTCTGAGGTCTCTAATCCCGAAAGGGAATGTAAAGAGAGGCATGCTTTAGTTGGAGCAGAGATGGGGAGGCACGCACCAGAGCACCTAAGCCTGCCTGGGGTAGGGCGGTGGGAGGGTGAGAAAGGCGTTTTGGGTGAGATGACATGGGAGCAGAGTTAGTTCTTTGTGCACCAAACTTTCCTTTCCTTACTGATTTTGTCCCTCAAAACAGAATGGATAGATAGAGCCATGGCCTTAATAACTAAGATCTTTTACCAGGGTGTCATTTGAACATAAATTCATCCAGAGAGTAGTGGCTTTCCTTTGTCCATGTGATCTGCCCTACTTTGAGCCCAGATTTTGGAATTGTACTGGTCATCTCCCAACAATTTAAGATCAGTAGGAAAGGAAGGTTCTTTTAGCCACCCACTTCCTAATACTGGAGAGAATATCAGATTGGTTAAAAACATGTACTTTCGAGTTAGAAAGAGTAAGGGCTCTAAAATATGACAGGAATTGACTTTAATGCTGGCTTTGCCACTTACTATTCATAGGTTCTTTCTCAAGCCATTTTACAAGCTGAGCCTCAGTTTCAACACTGTAAAATATGGACAATACTAGTACTAGTATGGGAGCTCTGGTAGTGTAGTGCCTAAGGCACTTGACTGCTAACCAGAAGGCTGGCGGTTCAAACCCACCAGCCACTCCTCAGAAGGAAGATGGGGCAATCTACTTCCGTAGTGATACTGCCTCAGAAACTCAAGGAGGGATCACTGTGAGTCGAGTCTGACTGGACAGCACATAACAACAACAACAACAACAACTGTACTAGTAAGGAGCTCTGATGGCAAAGTGCCTAAGACATTTGACTGCTAACAAGAAGGTTGGTGGTTCAAACCCACCAGCTGCTCCACAGAAAGAAGGTGGGGCAATCTACTTCCATAAAGATGTACCGACTTGGAAACCCAATGGGGGTTGCTGTAAGTCGGAATCAACTTGATAGTAGTGAGTGACTAGTACTGGTACTTCCCTCAGAGGGCTATGGAGAGGAATAAATTGTGTAATGCTGTAAAGCACTCAGCAAAGTGCCTAATTAACCGGAAACACTTAACAAATGAGGTTATCTAGTCATGTTCTAATCTTGGCTCTCTTTTTGACTAGTTGGGTGACCTTGGGTCAGTTACTTAACCTGTTTGATCCTCAGCTTATTATTGTAAGATGATAGTTGGGAAAGAAAGATTGAACATAGGTAAACTGGTTGGTTTCTCCCTTGGTAAGGAAGCCTGAAGCAGTTTTGGTCTCTCAGACTACCAGGGAGAGATTGATGAAATTTACTAGCTTGACAGTAAAGTGTTTTCTATGGGCTGCTGTGTATTGACTTCTCATTTAAGGAATCCTTCTGCAGGAAATATCTGGTTAGTTTGGATATTTAAAAAATCGTAATCAAATCTTTCATCTGTGGATTTACAAATCACTACTGTGTTGTGCTGGAGAATGGATGTAAGATATGTAGCCTTTCTACACGTCTAAAAACCAGTTGCCATGGAGTTGATTTCAACTCATGGTGACTCCATGTGTGTCTAAGTAGAACTGCACTCTGTATAGTTTCAAGGGCTAATTTTTCATCAATAGATCTCCAGGCCTTTTTTCCAAAGTGCCTCTGGGTGGACTCAAATTTCCAACCTTTCAGTTAGCAGCTAAGCACGTAGCTGTTTGTGCCACCCAGAGCCACTTTCTACATGACTGCTCTTGGGTGCTGTTGAGTGGTTTTTGACACGCAATGACCACATGTGATGGAGTAGAACTGCCCTATAGAGTTGGCTGTAATCTTTATGGAAGTAGATCACCAGACCTTCCTCCTGTGGAGTCTCTGGATGGATTTGAACCACTAATCATTCAGTTAGCACCTGTGTACTTAAGTGTTTGCACCACCAGGGCTGAGAGATATAGAGAGCTGCCAGAAATAAGCAGCTTCCCTGGGCTAACTTATGCCACACTCCAGTTAAAACTTCTCTGAATCCTAAATGCATCATGCCATCAAAGTTTAAGCAGCTGTGTTTGCTATGTTATGGGCCTTCCAGATCTTGGTGTGGCATGAGCTTTGAGTCCTTTCTTGTATCCTTTCTAAACATTGCTAAAGCTTGGTGCTGGGTCAGACTTGTGTTTCTTGTAAGGCTGAGTGACAATTCTGCCCTTTCTATAATGCTGTGATAATAACGATATCAGGATTATAGGGTTGGTGTAAGAAGTAAATTAGAAGCAAGTAAAATTTTACCTAAGCATGACCTGACTCATGGTTAGTACACGTCAACTCTTATGATTATCCAGACATGTTGGGTTTAGTTGCTGGTTTAGCATTTGTCAGAGATGGAAAATATACTGCTGGTTGTTATCATGAAGAAGCATTTGTTGAAGGTCATGTGACTTGGTGTGACATACAGAAAAAGAGTAACCACTATTTGAGAGATAATTCCTGAAGCACAATTTTTCCTTACCTGTTGAGAGAAACAGGATCTCGCTGACTGTTCTGTGTAACCAAAGGAAGGACCTTCAAAAACTGCTGTGGGCAGTTTGAGAACTTCCCGGAGGAACTGGTCATATCGTCCATAAACCATCACCCCGCTGGAGTCAGAAATCATTGAGAAGATATCTAATGGAAGGGAAAGGAAAGATATTATTAATCATAAAAACATTCACAAAAATTTCAGTTCAATATATATATATATATATATATATATGAAATAATAATATAAAATATAATAATAAAATAATATGAAATCTAATTTTTATGCTGAAATATTTCCACAGGGTGTTTTCTCTGCTATCTTTCTTTTTGTTTGTCCATTTGTTTGTTTTTTATGATTCTAGTACATAGCAGTAACTAGTAATTTGTGTAAATTTACATATTTTGTTGAGATATAGAAATAATCTTTTTTCTTTTGAGGTCAATTATCGACTCATAAATAACTCAGTAAAAGTATATTTGTATATGTGAGAAATATGCTGACCTCATATGAAAGTCACAATGAGAGTTTTACTACAAAGTTGGGTTGTATTTATCTGGGTAGCTAGGTAATCTACAGAATCACTAAAATCATGGATTTTGGCTTAAGATATTTGAAAAACGAAAGACAATGGGGATAAGAATATAACGAAAACACTTGATTAACTTCACACAGAACACTTTCTATAAATCATAGTGTTCTGGGCAGAAGCCTCTTGATTTCTGGGGAAGGGTCTTTTTGACTCACACAGCAAAGAGGAAGCCGGCCTTGTGAATGACCAGTGAGGCAAAGTCAAGGTCCTAGAATAGTGTCTGCAGAGCCAGTGGCTTCACTGAACCTGTATTCTTCAGTTTCTGCCACAATATGCACTTAGTGAATAGAAATGGCATAATTTCCCAAAGTATTTTATGATTTCTTTGTGGAAATCACTACTGGTAATGAAAGGGTTTGCTATTATATACTTTATGACCATGCTAGGTGAATTGTCCCTAGGCCAGCACAGCCACCAGGATCGACTGTTATAAGTTCAATGTGCTACTTCATTTTGGGTTTTATTTTTCAAGGGCAAAATGCAATCTGGAGACATTTTGCTTTTGTGTTATGGTCAGATGCTAAGCATAAAACAAACTTCTACTGGATTATGTTTTGAGGATGTGAACTGGCTCTCATATTCTTTAAGTACTCAGACCAAGAAACTCAGTTATGAAGTACTTCTACTGTGTTCCAAACAATCCATAGTTTATCTATCATGAAACTTAGGAAATTTCATATGATCAACCAAATTAATGTTCTTCTCATCTGCCTTCACAATGCTGTTTACTCTTATATTTCCTTTTAATTAGTCAAAAAAGAAAATAATTGCCAATAGCAAAAATAAAAACAAAACAAAAAAGCTCTTAAATAATTCTAAATATAAAAACTCAAGAATTCCAATCAAAAAAAGGGAAAAGCAACCTTAGGTTAGGCAAATTTGACCCCTTTATTAGAGCTGCCATCTTTTTTCTCTAGGCAGGCTGGTTGACTATAATTGGCCATCTTGATTATTTTCTAGGGTCTGATTTTCTAGGCCTGGCCATATTCTAGTCTAGTAGCCTAGGGTTTTCAAATCTCCCATTGAAAGAAATTAGACAATGTCTCTGTTGTTGTTGTTGTTATTATGTGCCGTGGAGTCAGCCCTGACTCATAGCGACCCCTCCTTGGGTTTCCGAGGCAGTATCACTACGGAAGTAGGATTGCCCAACCTTCCTTCCGAGGAGTGGCTGGTGGGTTTGAACCGCCAGCCTTCTGGTTAGCAGTCAAGTGCCTTAGCCACTATGCTAGCAGAGCTCCCAGACAATGTCTCTAATTAGAGCAAAAGTAGTAGAAGTATCAGTAATGACCTTTCACAAACTGGAAGCAAATATTAATTTATTTGTGTTGATTAAGTTATGCTAGATAGCCAAACTAAGGCTAAATCACTACATTCAAAGGAAAGCAACTTTTACTGGCCACTCAGTTTTTAAAGAGAAATGAGAGGATTTTGAGGAAGCTATTAAAATGATACATATTTAGAATAGTGTTTGGCATATAGTACGTGGTATAGAAATGTTAGTTATTTTTATTATTAATTACATATTGCTTTTCTTCTGTCATCTACTTCATAAGTTTAGGCTTGCCTCCCCAATGTGATTGTCCCGGAAGGGTCCAGACCATATTCCAAACCACTCTTGTATTTGCTACAGCTCCAAACAGTGATAGCTACTTAGAAGAACTTTAAAGAACTTTAGCTTATTCAGCTAAAATTAATGTACCAAAAACCCAAACAAAACCCATTGCCATCCAGTCAATTCTGACTCATAGTGATTCTCATTGCATTTCTAAAGTCTGTAAATCTTTTTGGAAGTAGATTGCCCCATCTTCCTTATGTGGAGCAGTTGGTGGGTTTGAACCATCAACCTTCTGGTTAGGAGTCAAATGCCTTAGACAGTGCACCAAAAATTAATGTAGTACATACTAAATGCAGGATACTTTGCTAGGTTACGATATACAGAAAAATCAGGACTGAGTTCTTGCCATCTATGAGGTCCTACCTATTGAGGCTGATGAAAAAAAAAACCAAACCAAACTCAGTGCTGTTGAGTCGGGTTCCACTCATAGTGACCCCTCCTTGGGTTCCTGAGGTGGTATCACTAAGGAAGTAGATTGCTGAACCTTCTTTCTGAGGAAGGTGGGTTTGAACCTCCACCTTCAGGTTAGCAGTCACATGCCTTAGGCACTATGCCACCAGAGCTCCCATTGATGTTGATGGAGAAGTGTTTTCTATCATACATCATGTAACAGAGACATCATATATGACAGCATAAGGAACGGAACACGAGTGTGTGTATGAAGAAGCGGGGCAGCAGAGAGAAGGTTCCCAGAGGGAAGAGTGGGTCAGAGAAGACTTCTTTACAGTTGGGGCATCTAGGCCATCTACAGGACAACTGGGGGTTACTCAGGCACAGAGGAGGGGAGTGGGCTTTAGGGAACAGGATCAAGTCTGCATAGGCATGGAGATGAGAGCAAGCATGATGTCCTCCGGGATCTTCAAGTAGTTCACTGTGGCAGCAGGCTTGGGTGCACATAAGGTCATGAAGTGTGGTGAAACAAGACAAGAAGAGTGTTGAAAGCTCTAGTGAGGAGTTTAGATTGTGTCCAGAAGATTCTGGGGAGATACCGAAGATTTTAAAGCAGGTCAGTGAGTTAGAAACCTTCCAGCGGGGATGGGTATGGTGGCAGATGGGCCAGTTCAGTAATAGAAACTCAAGAATCACATGGTATCTGCCACAATGCTAGTCTTTTAAACAAACAACCCTTCTCCAGAAGCTTTAGAACCATATTTATGCCATATTAGGCTCATAGCACTGGATCCAGAATCCCTTGAAATCTTTAAGCTTTCCAGGGGCCCTGAGGCAGAAGTATAAGCAAGTGTTCTAACCCATCAAACATCAGCTTATTAAAAAAAAAAAAAAAATTGACAGTAAAGGAGCATATTAGGCAGTTTATGTTTAGGCATCTGTTTTATACAACTTTAGGGGGAACTCTTCATTCCCTAGGAGCTCTGGTGGTGTAGTACCTAAGGCATTTGACTGCTAAGCAGAAGGCTGGCAGTTCAAACCCACCAGCCACTCCTCAGAAGGAAAGTTGAGCAATTTACTTCCATAAAGATACCATCTTGGAAACCCAAGGAGGGATCACTATGAGTCAAATCAACTCGATGGCAGTGAGTTTGTTTGTCATTTTCTTCATTCCCTAGTCTGTGTTTGTGATACTCCCTGGAGTTAGTAGTGAATACCCTGCATATAGGTTTGCTGTGCCCTGAGTATTGGAAATTCAGGTATAACATGGTTTTGTTGTCTCTTTTAATGCATTGTAACACATTTTTAGAAAGATAAACTTTAACATTTCCCTTGTTCTCTACTTTTTAAAATTTCTAAATTATTTTCAGTGAGTTATTCTTGCCCTGTGCTCTCTAACAATGAGAGGCTAGTTGGAACAAATATCCTTCTTCCCTTCACACAAAAATGAAAGACTTGCCAGATAAGAACAGATGGCATATTGGCTGAAAGGGAATTAGAAAAATTCAAAGAAAGGAAAACAAATCACTCAAACCCTGAACAAGCCCATATCCTTTCATTTCACTTTTTCTTATTACAAAAGCCATGTAGGAAACCATTAGCTTGTGTGCTTTATCATTAAATAAGCTAGCAAAAATGAAAAGTATAGAAAACACCCACAATTCCTTTCATCAAGAGTCAGCCACTCCTGTCACTGAATGATTTTCCATATTTGCTCATTTAGTCAATAATTATCAGTGAAACTAGAAATACCAATAACTAAGGATATTCATTTTTGACTAACATTTTGAAGAGATTCCTCTAACCAAATTGCTTTTAGCTAAATTGTTTTTAGTCAAATTGCTTTCAACCAAGTTACCTGGAAACCACTAAAACCATTTTCCTGGGATTAATTACACAGAGAGAGACTCCACAGCAGAAGACCCAGGGATACATAGGGCTGTGAGTCAAGTGTATTGATCTGGGAGAGAGGGCTGTGTTATATTGCTGTTATTTGTTTTTCTACAGAATTGTGTCATTGCAGAGCTTGTTGACTGGAGAACTTGGTTCACCTCCAAATGGGACTCAGGCATTTGCTGCTTTTTTCTCTGTACTGAAGAGTATTTACTTTGGCCACTAAATAGCATGCATGCTTTGCTCATCAGTTGTGTTTTTGGTAGGTGAAAGCATGGGATAAGCAGAAAAGTACTGCACTAGATACATTATTTCCTTTGGTTTGAACTCCTGGACTTGCAAGAGAACTGCAAGGTTTTTGGCAATCGGTCAACATCTGATTTATCAAACAAATAAAGGAACAACTTAGTTGTATCTTGAGCTTTGTAACTGTGTAGGCATTATCAGTTGCCCACATAAAAACCATTTCCTTCATCTCACCTCCTTTCTTCATTGGACCCAAATTTGTTCCTCTGCTAGAAGAAAGCCGAGACCATTCCTAGCCCAGGAGGTAAAAGCAGATTACTCCACAACCAACATGGTGATTCCTTTCCTGTTACTGGTAATCGGTTTAGAAACTGGCCTGTGACGTCACCATGGGCAATGAGACTTAAGGGGAAGTTGGCTGGTGGCCTCTGGAGTGAGAATGTGATTCCTGAAACATATACACCTCTTTTCCCCCCAGGAGGAGAATGAAATCCAATACTCTGAGGAAAGCTGAGTGGAAAGATGGAAGGACCTGGGGCCTTGATGACAAAGCATTAACCCAGTACATTAAAGTCTCTGAGTTCTCAGTTTGTCTCCAAACATATTTTAATATGAGATCCTTTTATCTAGGTACTTATTAATATCATATTGGATTTTTTTTAACATTTATCTGATGTTCTCAGTATAAATGGCTGATTGTGACATGAGGTCAGCAGGTGAGATCCTTAAGAGTTTCTTATTCTGCCTTGTTTCACTTTTGTGATTGCTATATGTCTTCATTGTATATGTGCATCAAATATTTTTGTTTCCTTCTGTTATGAACTGTGAAATGTAAATAAAGTTAATGCCTTTTGGTTGTATGTGTGTTAGTGTATCATGTTAGGCACAAATATGACTATGATTGTCCTTATTTAGAGATTATATATGGTTAAGAAGATGTGTACAACTGCCAAGTTGACAAGGGGTGGACTGTGATAGTTGGAGCTGTGTGTCAACTTGGCTGGACCCCAGTTCTGTGTGGTTGTTCCCATGATGGGATC